GCATTTAAGTAGCCTTTTATGGAGCCTTTATGGAGCCTTTAAGGATGCTTTAAGGAGCCTTTATGGAGCCTTTAAGGATGCTTTAAGGAGCCTTTGTGGAGCCTTTAAGGAGCCTTTATGGAGCATTTAAGTAGCCTTTATGGAGCCTTTAAGGATGCTTTAAGGAGCCTTTATGGAGCCTTTAAGGATGCTTTAAGGAGCCTTTATGGAGCCTTTAAGGAGCCTTAAAGGAGACTTCATGGAGCCTTCATGGAGCCTTTGTGAAGCCTTTAAGGAGGCTTCATGGAGCCTTTAAGGAGCCTTTATGGAGCATTTAAGTAGCCTTTATGGAGCCTTTATGGAGCCTTTAAGGATGCTTTAAGGAGCCTTTATGGAGCCTTTAAGGATGCTTTAAGGAGCCTTTGTGGAGCCTTTAAGGAGCCTTTATGGAGCATTTAAGTAGCCTTTATGGAGCCTTTAAGGATGCTTTAAGGAGCCTTTATGGAGCCTTTAAGGATGCTTTAAGGAGCCTTTGTGGAGCCTTTAAGGAGCCTTAAAGGGGACTTCATGGAGCCTTTAAGGATGCTTTAAGGAGCCTTTATGGAGCCTTTAAGGATGCTTTAAGGAGCCTTTGTGGAGCCTTTAAGGAGCCTTAAAGGGGACTTCATGGAGCCTTCATGGAGCCTTTGTGAAGCCTTTATGGAGCCTTTAAGGAGCCTTTGTGGAGCCTTTAAGGAGGCTTCATGGAGCCTTTATGGAGCCTTTATGGAGCCTTTAAGGAGCCTTTAAGGGGGCTTCATGGAGCCTTTAAGGAGGCTTCATGGAGCCTTTATGGAGCCTTTAAGGAGCTGGCATTAAACCATACTTTAAAGGGGAAATGAAGTGTGAAACTCTACCTGGTGCTTGCTGTGGGAGTTCTTCCGCCCACGACTGGAAAGAAGCAGAGAGAAGAACAGATGATGAGTCTCAGTTTGATGAAAACAAGGAGGAAGAGTGAAAAGGTGATGAGGAGATCCCACCTAGTGGTCAGCAGCTCGGCTTTATATCCTAGAGGACGAAACAAAGACATTCAGTCGAATCAGAGACCATGACATCACTGATCTCTGATCATGTGACAACAGCCAATCAGTGCTTAGATCAACAGGAGGAGGAGCTAGTGACGTTAGCAGCACCGCTAACAGCCAACCAACAAAGGTTTGCTTCAGCTAACTCATGATGCGCTAACGTCATGCTAACGTCACGATGCGTTCAGGCTCCGCTCAGTGAAAACAACACGGTATCACGATGCGTTCACAGGTAATCTGTGGAATGTAGTTTAAATGTTGAACCCAGACGTTTTTCTATGAACATAAACAGTTATTAGAGATGATTCATGATCTGTGACACTTCCCAAGTTTTAATTCTTATTATTATGCATCATTAAAGATGATAATGACTAGATTTCAATGAGCAGCGTCTTTCTCCCGTTACCTTCCGCTAAAGCTTTCTTCAGTATGTCGTGTTTGGCCTGCAGCTTGGATATCAGGTTACTTCCCTCCAGATACTCGCGGAACTTCTGTGGATGGAGCAACAAAAATACACGGTATTGGCATTAGCGTGACGTTAGCGTGACGTTAGCGTGGCGTTAGCTGGCCCTCACGGTGAAGTAGAAGAGCTCCGTCTCCTGCTGGTTGGCCCTCTTCTTGGCCAGACTGGGCTTGTTCAGGTACCCGTCCGACACGCTGGACTTCACCGACTCCGAGGACGGGCTGTGGGTGAAGCTGTGGGACACGTCGAAGTCCTCCAGCACCGTCATGTCCTGCAGGGTGGTGAGGGTGGCTCCCCAGGTCTTCTTCACCTGGAGGGGGGGGGCGTCAGGAGGACGAGAGTCAAGCATCCTCTAAGGATCTCAATGTTTCTCATGAAGCTTCATTGGTGACGTAGACATTCAAATGGAAGTCCGATTAATGAGCATCATCAAATATGAGCCCAGTGGCAGAATCCAAACCAGTCGGAAAGCCAACGGTCACTTATCAGAAATAGAGATTTCAAAACGTTGATTTAATGAAGAAAAGTTTAACTAATTGATCCAATGGATCACAAATTGATTTATTATGAATGAAGACTTAAAGTTAACTCTCTAATGTTTTAACAGCTTCATTCAAAAACCTCATCAGCGTGAAGTGAACTTAAAGCTTCCTGCTGCTCCTCCTCAGTTAGGAACAATAATCAAACTATAAAAACTGAAATATGAGTTTTTATAACTTTTCTTGAAAATAAAACATTAACTGAATACATTTAAACTAGAAAGAGATCAGTGTGCTTTCAGCTTCTCGTTAAATATGGCGTATAAATAATGATGATTGAAGAATTGAATCCAGATGTTGGCACCACTTTGGCAGAGAGGGAAGCTGCCTGTACAAGCTCAGTCCCAAATGACTCCACCCGAATGCTGCCTCCATCAGGCAGAGAGCTTCTGACTGAGGATCAGTCCTTCAACCAGGAGACGCCAGAGGTCAGAGGTCATTTTCATTCTCTGTTGTGAACATGTATGAGAACCCGCCCGCGTTTTACAGGATGATCCCAAACGTTCTGAGAAACGATAACACTTCGGGGGGTTTTCGGTGCTTTGGACCCACCTCCTCGTTCTCGATCTTCAGGGAGGCCAGGCGGGTCTGCAGCTGCGTGAGGCGGAGGCTGAGCTCCGCCTGGAGCTGCTGCTGGGAGGCGATCTGGGTCACCTGACAGGAAGTGGAACAACGACAGGTTGACGCGCGGGAGTCGGGGAGCGGCTCTGGATCAGAATTCACCCCCAGAGGAACATTTCAATGGGATTTGCGTCTCAAGCAGCTGACGTGGAAGCTGTGACATCACGTCCAGGGTCCTTCAGATGGCTTTCAAAAGCATTAATGTCGATGCCGTAACAAAGCATGAAAAATGGAACAGAAATAGAGATAAACTGCTAATGATGTGATTCTGATACTGATCCAACTAAAAACAATCAGATGCAAATGACTAATAATGACTTAACATTAAAAGAACAACGCGAGTAAACGCTGGACCTACTGACCGCGTCGCCCATGTGAGCCTGGAAGCTGAAGCGCTGGGGGGGGCAGAAGGCGGTGGGGTAGAGGCCCAGCAGACGCTGCCGGTCCCGGGCCGGGTCCAGGCCCTCCACGGCCCCCTCCAGGACCTCCAGACCGGCTCTTCTGGAGGCCTCCAGGCTCAGTTCGGCCGACAGGTAGGTCCTGAGGGCCCGGCTCAGACTGGAGTGGTACCCTAGGTCACAGCACTGGGGGGGCAGGAGGGAAATCAGTCACAGGTATCACACCACGCCGCCCCCCCCGCGCTCACTCACGTCGATGATGTCGGGCAGGTCGTGGATGTAGTACTTGAACACGGAGGCGTTGGTGGCTTCCAGCGTCAGCAGGTACTCGTTCCGGGCCTTCAGGGTCTTCAGCTTGTTCTCCGAGTACTTTGCTTTCCTCTGAGGGACAAAATACCCTCATGTTTGCTGTATTTCTGCTACATTCTTAAATCTATTAAAAGATTTCAGGAGAGGAAGTACTCAGGGAATGAATTATCGATGACCAGCTCCTGTTTGCATCAAGAGGACTCGAGTACGTCTGCAGGGGGGGGACGAAGCCTCCAGACTCCATTCACAAAAACAGTCAGTTTGTCTAACGTGTGACCTTTGTGTGAGCAGGTGTCCGTTCAGGTGCACCGCCGTCCCACAGTGACACAAACGCGCCGGTGGAAGGAGGCGGGGCCTCCTGGTCTCGGGGGGGTAGACGTACTGTTTTGTGGATGGAGTCTGGGGGTCTCTGAGGAGACCCCCCCCCCCTTTGAGGGTGTGAGGTGTCCCGGGGGAGACGCACCTTCTCTCTCATCTTCTCCATCTTGCGAGCGGCGTTGCGTCTCTGGTGGCGCTCTTCTATCCGCAGGCCGAACACCGGCTCCACCCCCCCGCCCGACCCCGACAGGCCCTTCACGCGGCCCTCCTGGCGCTCCGCGTCCCGCAGCTTGGTCTCCGCGCTGATGGTCTCCACGTGGTACATGTGATACGTCTTCATCACCTAGGCAACCAGACGGAGCAGAGCCAAGGAGGCTGTTTACGTTTACTTCCTAAATCAGGTGATCTGACCTTTAAAAAGGTCACGACCCCTAAAATAAAGTGGCAGACACTATTCAGCCGTCAGCTCGTGGAGACTTACGGTGTAGAGCTCGTTCAGCAGCTTCATGAGGTCCTCCTGAAGCTGGAAGATGATCTCCTTACTCTGCCGGGGGTCAAACACGAGAACATTTAGGATGAAACAGATTCTGGTTTTATCATCATTTGAATATTTCTGGGCTTCTTTGAAGACGTCTGAATTCATAATTCAGCAGCAGGATTTTTATCAAATTGATTGAAAAGGAGAACAAAGGTTTTGGGGACAGAATTAATGCAGTAATGTGAACTTTCTTCTTGAGTATATTTTGGTTTCGTAGATTTTCAGAAAAGAGGTTTGGAATCCATTGACGGAATTTAATCTTAATTCCTAATTAATTCTTAATTTTAATAAGTACTTTTACATGTAGTACTCTGAGTACATTGAGCAGATAGTATTTATGGTTAAGCACCAATCAATCAATGAACACATTTATAGAGATCATTTTATCGCCCATAAAACAGCCCCCCAAAGGGCATCTAGGCACGAGGCCAGAATCTTTGAGGAGAACTCGTGTTCCGCTGACCCAGTGATACGACCTCA